CCCCCAGCATTTTGGCCTCGATTGGTAACTAATTCTAATGAGGTAACGTAACAAGCATGCCCAGTGGCTCTAATAGATTCATTGAGGGAAAACGACACAGATCATCAGATGAAGCGAGGTTGGCCATGTCAAAGCGATGAAGACAGAGTGTACTGCCGGACCGTACAGGCTGCTGCACTGGAAAGAAGTTGGTATAGATATAAACAGACACCCGGTACATAGGCCTATAGTACAGAGGTAACCTTTTGCACTTTCCTTCTGGGGCCCGAAGCACTCGGTTGATATCCATGACTACTAGTATCGACTGAATGGCCAAGTGATATTTATTATTGATTGAATGACCGTACCACAATGACCAGCAACCGTGGATAAATGGGACATTAACCCCCCAGCATTCATCCATGTCTATCTATCTATCTACCTCAAACATGACGGAGTAGGAAAAGACCATCTGCTCCATCCTGCCAAAGAAAGCCAAACCAAGCCCGTCGTCTAGTTAGCAGCGGCAAATGGGGCGGACGAGCAGACTTTCTTCCATTCAGGTGGCAGATTTGTCCCGAATCACGATGTTTTGCATGCATGCGGGAAGATAACATACTTTCCAAAGTTCAAGTTTCAAATCACCTTTCAATCCTTCTTTCTGGGCAGCCGGGTCTAACCCCCGACCCCCCCCCCTCTCTCAGTCCCCAATCAGTTCCCCTAATATTTGCCTTCCCCTCATCTCTTTCCGCCAGTGCGGATGTCAGCCGGAGAAGGGTCAGTTAGTACCAGACTACCAGTACTCAATAGCTTGAACTAAAAAAGAAAAATAAATATGGAAGGACTCCATAAACTGTGGATAGTCACCAGAACTCCGATGTCATCTGCTGATCCCCGTTGTTCACCCGGCCAGCTGTCTTGAGTTAAACTCGCGGACCGCATCCTTTGCCAGCCGTGTGACTGGAATGGGAGTAACGAGTAGTTAACCACGATCAAGGTACTTTATGGATGGCTCAGCTTTGGCTAACACCAAACACGAGTCGATTGGGCTGAGCCCGATACTAGGATTGGGATTGGTCAGGAACCTGGAATGGGAAAGTCTCGTCCGTTAAGTTAGTTTGGTTGATTGCACGCAGGCAGCAGAGCAGACAGGTCATCAAGCCTCACGGATCATCCCTCTGGGGTCGACTTCTGAGTGGTCCACGCAGGGGACTGTTGTTGTATTCCTTCCGGCACCGCTGCTGCTCAATTCCTCTGATACTTACACGGGAGACAGGAGTATGTCTGTGAAATCGGGCCAAAGCGAAGAGGAGGCGGCCAGGAGAGTGTTTCAGCTACGTCATTGGGCATCAATCACAGATCATAAAGCTTCTCGAGATCGCAAGGCAATGCTGCCCTTGATTCCTCCATCTACTCTATGAGAAAGAGATAAGGTATACCCCCGACTGTGATCCAACCAATTTGCTTCGTGGTCCGGGATGTTATAATTCCACGATGCTATTGTACTTACTGAGTATATCATCTTACGCTGACCCGGGGGATGATCCCCAAGCTACGGATGTCAATCGTTTCAACACAGCCCACTGCGGGTCGCATCGAGCGAACTAGATACGTCGAGTGTGGTTGCTAAGCTCTTGATAATATTGGACGGCCAACAGCCCGGTCAGCCATCTGCAAACGGGATCTCTCACAGGTGCACCTGCCACCTGGGCTTAGGCATTCAATACAGATTGCATCAAGACGGATTAACTACGGCACTTCCGACAGACAGTAGGCAACAATGCATTAAGTACACTGTGTGTAATGTCCGGATATTGTTTGAAAGGAGACAACAGCAACGAGAAAGAGAGCTCTAGATCTGTCAACCGTATGCCGGCAAAGATCGGTGAGCTGCTTCTGCAGAATAAAGCAGCAAATTACTTGCAGAAAGCCCGAGGTGTTCCGCGGGGACCTGACTGGCTAGAACCCCGTCAGAGAATAGGAACTGTCGATCAATTAGGTTGTCTGTCCACTTGCTTCCTTTTTGTCAGAAAAAGGAAAAACAAATATCGGATTTCTTGTGCGACTCTACTGGTTCATCAAATGGATGCCGTCGCATAGTCGGCGTGTCGAGCATGTAGAAGCCAACGAAGGACCGGACAGAGACGCTATCAGCTCTCGTTCCGGGCGCATTTTCAAGATTTTATCACTCATGCCTTCTGTGAGACGACATCAGACAACTATGAATGCACAAGGTTTTTCATATAGAACAGAGTGGAACCTCGTGGCTCATCTGACTTTGCTCATTTATTTCCTGGCTCTTTTGGTCTGATGACGAAGACCAAGGAAGAACGAGGTCTGTTCCTCCCTTCTGGAAGAACCAGACCAGTTAACTAGTGGTCGTAAAGGGGTTGGCTAGTAGTACCGGGATCACCGTGGACCAGCAAGCTACCCTAGGTTTTGGGTCCGGTCCGGCGCCATGGGAGGTCGTTGAGGTCCAGCCAGCCTCCAAGGTTGAGCCTTGATCTTTCACCTCCAGGCTCCCGGATCCCGAACTCCAGAAACTCACAAGCGCTTGGTTGACTAAATGGAAGGTGTGTGGTGGTAAACTACCTACTGTACGCACCTCGTCATTCGCAAGCACCTGTAGGCGGGAAGTGGAGACCAGATATTCCGGACTGATTGCGATTCATCCGTTTGCTTCATGTCGACGCAGCTGGCACCGGATACCTTCTCCGATTCCTCGTCCTTTTGTCGCCTGCGAGCTCGCTTGGTGTGGAAGCCAGTCTGATTGATGCATTTGTGTTTCCTGGATGCTTCCCGCCAGTTTTCTGAGCACTCTTGAACACTGCTGAGCACACTTGTGGAGTGGGCCGTCCGATCGGAGAACGTGTGCCACGAGAAACATGGCGGACAGGTAGATAATTACTTAGTCTAGTGACTCTAGTCCGTAGTCTAGTCCATGCAGATGGGATCACTTGGCGGGGTTGGAAAAGAGAGTGTGGAGCCCGATCGGAACGGGCTGTGAGGTGGCCCAGAAATATGAAGAGACGGTGAGAAAAACCCTCTGGAGTGATAGGAAACAGCGAACAAACAAACAAACAAACATGAACCGAGGGGTTTAATGTATTACTGGCTCTCTCAGGATCCGGAGTTGAATGTCCGCAACTCAGCAGCAATTTTTCTTATGCAGAGCATAGTCCATTTCAGATAAAATTTCAGTTGTCAATGGCTTTGTTTGGAGCATGTTTACTTTTTTCTTTGTCTCCCTTTCGATTCTTTCTTTCTCCCATTCGCGTGCGTGTTGGGGCTGCCGTTCCCCGCTAATACCGCTTAACTTATCACTTGAGAAGGATCGAGAAAACCATCGGACCAGCAGTGCCCACAAGCCATGGCAGGAAAAGTCCATCGCATTTTCCATTTCCTATCTTGGCTGTGGTCCGCCGCTAAGTGAGACTAGATGAAGAATCCCGGTGGAATGGCATTAGCTTACGGAGTCTGAGTAGTTTGACGACTACTGAAGCCTGGATGGACGTATGTCCCTACGGAGTCTTGCATCGCAGGTCTCCACTTTATTTGTGCATGGTCTGTTAGTGCACATCGAACTCGGGCCCTGCAGCTGTGAAAATTACGAGTATCCATTTTGGCCGGGTGCGTACCCTTCCTTTCTCTCTCCGAGGGGCTCTTTTAAGGCGTGCTGAATGTACAGCCTGGAGCATATTGTAGGTTAGCATGTGGATGTATACACAGTCAGGGTACAGTCATTTCACCGACAGGCAAGCCCCGCGAGATCCACAAACTCAACACAACTTCGAACATACTCCGGAGTAGCGGCCTCTAACTGCAGCCGCGGAAGGTTGTGAGAAGCAACTCAACTCACCTTAGCTTTTGTCGTCCCCGGTTCTCTCGATGCGCTATCATCCATCCCGCTGCTGCGATGGCTCGCAGTAGTGGAATTCACTTATGCTTGCAGGTCGTGCTGACCCGGTCGAGGAAAATAGCTAATCATGCTCGATGGTTGACAATGGGATTCTTGAACCCGTCTGCAGGAAAAAAAAGGGCTAGCCCCGTCTAGATCCCAAGGTGGCACTGCCGTAGCGTGCATTTTCTGTGCTGCACATGCATGCAATAACATTCACACCACCTGTTGGCTTCCTTCCGCTCGATGCTCAGGGCTCCCGATTAACTTTGGGAGCTGGGGAGAAGGGGAGTTCGGGGAACTGGGAATCGCTTCCAATTCGGAGAGGAGATCAGAATCACGCATAGATGATTGTCCCTCTAGTTCACCGTAATTGCTGGGTGTGGTTCCCACTCCGGGGGCTGCACGCTTCGATCCGGTGTTGTCGGCGACCTCTATTTAGGAATTCGCATTGACCGCGATGTCTGCGTATACCTGCATACTACTAGCTACATCTAGAGAAACAAGCACAGTAATTGGGCCCGTCTTTTCTGTGTATCTGCCAGGTGCTTCCGCTGGCCTGTCTTATTGATTTTTAATCACGGGCGAGATCGATCCGGACAGTCTAGATTTACAATGTACTGTACTGTACTTATCACCAGAGGGCTCATATCTTGTTTCCAAGAGTCGACAGTTGTGACTTCTTGAATCCGTTCATTGGTTTGGAACGACGCATGTATGATACCAGGCCATGCACTCATTTGTACTCTGTATTCTACATAAGACTATTTAATCTGAATGTACTGAGGCGTGGATTATGACAGTCTAAAGGCGCATGAGATTTCAAACTGTTGGAAAGCAGAAGGACCTGCAGTACCTGAAAAGGAAGTCGCGGTGGCCGTCGAACTCGGTAGTGTTAGACATCGATCCCTTCTACACACTCTACTTTGCCCTGCTAGAAATACTCATGGATTGACTGACCTCACTTACTGACTGACCGAGTGGGTCTGCTGACTTCCTTCCACTCTTTCTTTCTTTTTCTCTTCTTCTTCTACATCTGCCCCACCCCTTGCATTTATTCCCCCGCATGGAGACGACAACAACAACAACAATAATCAAACAGCATTATCCCTTGTCTCCGTGCCTTTGGTTGGAGAGGTGTAGATGCACTCTGCACATGTCTTTTCCTGTTCTATTTCTGGACCTCGGATGCATTCAACTGACATATTCTGATCAGACTGTGTGTCTCACAGAGTTCGTTCTTCCCATCGCAGCCGGACGCCAATTCCCGTTCTCCGTCCGAGTCGAGTAGGCTTCCTTGGTGACTGCCTGATTGAACGCTTCGAACCAGGACAATCCTTATGTGCCTTCCATACTTGCTCTGCTACACAATGTCGCTCTTCATATGCGGGTCCTATAAACAAGTTCGCGTCTCCATTGTGGCCCCTTCAAAGGGCGCTTGGTCTAAAAGCCTACACACAGAGCAGCTCCCCGTCAAAGTATACTTTTTTCTACAACTCTTTGAATGCTAGGTTATCACCATGAGATCAGTCCTGGAAGCGGAACTGATTCTTTGGCTTTCCTCTGACACCGACATCCACGCAATAAAGCCGTCCCCCATACCGGATAGAGTTGGGAAGCTGCTCATCGTTCACATCGTCCTTGGCAGTTGTGATAAAGAGCTCGGTCCCGACAAATGTTGGACAAGTAATGTTTCGTGTAGGCAGGATCACTTCGCCAATCACTTTTCCCGCCGGCGAGATGCGTATGATCTTCCCGCCGCCATATATGGCACTCCAGAGGCAGCCTTCCTCATCGATGGCAAATCCATCGGGCTCCTTGGGCTCCCCAATATCAAAGTGAACCCTGCGGTTGCTGATTGCTCCGGTCTTCGCATCGAAGTCGAAGGCAAAAATCTTACCAGTAGGGGAGTCGGTCAGGTACATGGTGTCATCCGCAGGGTTCCAGCCAATCCCGTTGGGGATCGTCAGCTGTTCAACCATCCGATGGAGTTTCAAGTCGGGATCTAGCCGGAACAGTACCCCTTCGTTGGTAGGCTTCTGGATCTTGGGGTCATTCATGGCCCCGGCCCAGAATCGCCCGTGGCTGTCGACTGCTCCGTCGTTGAAACGCATCCTGTTTTGATGGCGTTGTCGATGAGTCAGATTCACGCCTTCGAGTTGTGCAGATCCCGACTTCTGACACCTACCTGTGGTCCCTGTCTGGGTCGTCCCATGCTCTGCGGATATACGACAGCTTGCCGGTGTCGCGATTGATCAGGGCGAATCCATGTTTGGCGGCCGCGACGATCTGGTCCTTGTGGGAATCTCCGGCATTGGCGATGTTGGCAGTCACCCTGCAGTCCCGACCCGCGGGTTAGCCTCGAAGCTGTGCTGGGAGTAGACACCCTGTAAGGAAGGCTATCGGACAGGCGACGCACCCAATGGAAGCAGACGTGTCCAAAATCCGCAAGGAGTCTGGCCCTTCGGCAAGGTTCAAAGCGTATAATTTCTGTTCCCAGATGTCGACAAAGCGAAACTCATTCCTGGTCTCATCATGGAACGGACCCTCCAATAAAGTGCCTGCTATGTCGACGTACGGCTGGATCAAGAAAGAAGAGTAAGAATCATGCTGTTATGCTCAAACCCCACATGGGCCATGTTCATTCGCCCGGAAAAGGTCCAGTTCTAAATCCGCGTACCTCGGAGACCGTCCATCTCTGGAAGGCTGACATTCTGAATGATCGACCAACAAGGATTCTGAAGTTTTGGACAATTCAGTTTCGGGAGCACCCGTGGTCTGAGCTGTATCGGAAAGTTATGGCCGGCTTTGGATATATGTGCGACAGTTATTGTCAATGGAGAACAACATGTGTTGGGAGCGCACTGAGGGGAAGATAGGGAAGGTCGACTTGAGTGTGACGGCTGATCAGTTGGTGCGTGGCACACGGTTGCCAAGACAAACCCCACAGGAACCTCATTGAAAACGCGATTATTTTGCTGTCCCGCTCCTTCGCCAGCAGCAGCAGCAGCAGCTCCTCATGGTCAGTGGGTCGAGCTGGGTCAGCCATCCCTGTTTCGACTTAGGGCCCCAAGGCCAGAGGGCGAGGGGGGAGGGGAGTGGATAACTGCCCATCGGGCCACCACTTCCGTGCCAAAGCAGTCGTCGACGGTCGAACACACCGATTGCTAGCACTAAATAACACACACTAACTGGATGGCATCTATCGATTCCGACTCGAATCGATCTAGAGTCTGGGCCCGGGAATTTCTCCAGTTTTGCTGCAGAATTTGCTGCGTGTCGTGCCAATTATTAGCGTCTACTTCTAGGAATCCAGAAATATGTCCGCGTCCATGGCCTCTAACGGTCCAGAAAAGGAACATGATGCATACATGCGCCCCTTCGTCTATTGAGCGATTCGAGCCCTCAGGTTTCCGGAGTGGGTATATTATTTATTGGATATTCACCACCAAGCATGTCCCCACCCATTGGAGCTATCACCTGTCAAGTGAGTTATCAGCTACCTTACCTACGGTATTTACGGTACCTGTAGACGCTAAATTACAGGCAGCCCTGTCACAACCAAACGTGGTCACTCAGAATGGTTTTATGTGCCGAGAAAAAGCAATTCTCAGGGAAGGTCAAGATTTGGAATTGAATGAAAGGGACTAACTCCCCAGCTATCTCTGAAGCACGAAGGAAAAGTACATTATGTACCCACCAACAAGACCGTTTGATTCTGAGCAGGCAGCGAATGTCACACCATGTTACCGGCCCAGACCCAGTTGTGCGCAGTGACAGGATGCGGGCAGACTTCCCGTGTTCCGCCTCAATTTGTCCCAAACAAGGCTCCTGGTGGAGTCTATCTTGGACGGGCCGATAACTGCGGACAAATAGGAAATCACCCGGCTGCTTTCCCTTGGGGCTTGTGCTATGCGGCAGCTTGCTCCCAGCGCTTGAAGCAGTCTGCGTGACAGCAAGCAAGGCGAGTCCCCTCAATGCCTCGAAAGTGTTCCATGGACGCAGACACGGCATATCCGCCCGCCCCAGGGTCCCAGACCTCGGGACTTTGAAGGGAAATGTTTACCAGTTTACCTACAATTCAGAGGACGAGGCCCACCTAGTGTACCTTTCGAGCCTACAGCCGTGACCGCGACCGATTACGAGTGGTTTTCTTGCATTGGTCCCCGATTTGTGGCCTGCGTCTGGGGTCCGTGTCATGGCCGGTCCATGGAATGTGGGCAGAGCTCCAGGCCAGTCCCGCCATGTGTCTGACGGCGAAAGGCGGATCGCCCCAGATAGGCAAGGTGAGAGATATAGTGGAATGGTTGAGCAGCTGTTGAGCGCCTGAAATGCTTCCACAAAGTTCCTCGGTCCTTCGGGGAGGGAGGCCGCGCTAAGCCAGATGATGGACCACCTGCTGGGTTTCTGTTCATCTAGTCTAATCGCCCTGGTTGGTGAATCACAGCCCCGTCACTCAGCCATGTCCAGCTGGTTTAGCAGTGGTGCCGTGATCGGGTTCCGACGACTCAATCCACAGTGAACGGATTAAACTTGATCTCCAGCCCTCTGGGGTGATCGTCGCTATGATGCTAATCATGAACCCGAAGCAGTAGAAGGGCGAAGTAGACTGAGGTCATTCTGAATCAATTCATGGGGCCCGGGGAGTCTTTGGGAAAGGCTCTATGCAGCGCATGGCCAGCCGCTGCATTGATTGACGGTCGGACAGATGGAGAGCGCCCAACATTGGGTCGTCCGGCGCACAGTAGACAAACCTAAGGGCGCAACCTTAATGAGCGGTGGTTCATAGCCAGCACCCGGCGGGGAATGAAGACGCCAGCTCAACGGCGATGCATCACCTAAACGGACAGGGCAGTACCTGCAGGAGGCAAACACGACTGATATTTGAGACAGATAAGTTACAAAGTGGACCACTGAATCGCGCTGTCTGGGAGCGAGTGGAAAATGCGGTGTACAGGCCACCACTCAGTCATGCCCGAGAAGACAACACTACCTATGTTACCGCACTCTGGCCTGGGAATTTTCCGACCGTTGCGAATGATGAGGGATCACATCGATTCTGGATTTGTGCAGCTCTGGGGGCTCTTCGCCCTCTCGTTTGACGTTTCGATGTCCAAAACCGTCCAAGCACCATCCTGGATACTTGAGCAGCAAGTCACCATTTTAAGGGCGAGCCCATTAGGCCCAGGCAGCCTCACATGATCGATTCTTCATGCATGACAACGCAGCTCACATGGGGGTGAGGTGCAGCAACTGCAGATAGGACTTTGGGGAGGGGAAAGGGTGTGGAATACCCTGTCAATTCGGTACGGAGCTAAACGTACCATGTTTTGCAAGCTGTATTACCGCTGTATGGTAACTTACCGTCATCATACCCCCAATTTTCGGTATGACATCTGGCTCGATTGATTGATTGACCAAACAGCACTTAATCAGGGTATGACGACCTGACTGATTCCGATCCAGTCAGGCCCACTTTCATTGACCGGCTCGACTATGAGATCGGGGGCCCGCAAGACTGGAATCATGGCGTAGTCATTCTCAACGAGTTCGCTGCACCGTACAACCGAAGCTTGCATCAAACATAAGAGAAAATACGGAAAAGAAAAAGCAGGACCCATATGGTTACGCTGGGCCGGGTCACTCAGATAGGCTTGATCTGTTTGTAAGCAAGACAGTGCGTTGATTGCGTCGAATCGAGAATCATATCCCTCACCCCAGTCGGATCCTGCCACGACATACTCCCTCCCATACACAACAGATGGCCAGATGACTAGTGTCCTGAGATATGCATCCAGAGGCGGGGAAAGGGTGAGGGGCAAGCTACACATGCGTGTACCCTCGCCGTGAGTAGTACCTGGGTCGGTCAGATAGGTACCTAATTCGTACCCTATGGGGGAGGGAGTTGCTGAAGTGGCAAATCAGAGAGGCCCACTGAGATAAAAATTGGTGGGAGAAGTTGATCTTATTGGTGGAGGAGGCGGTGGATATCTGTGTTCTTTTGGGAATTTCATGCATTAGTTCAGAGGTGGTTCAGAGGTAGTTCAGAGGTATAGTTCGGGCGTGTTGGGGAGAGGTGTTCTTTAGACTTGAGGATGCACGGCTTACTCCTTGGTCCGTAGTGTAGCAGGACAGCTGGAGGACTGGAGAAAGAGTCGAATGCTTGTCCTTGAATGGTCACTGCAAGACCTCTCTCTCGTGCTTCTCTTCTGGGAGTGCTGTACATTCGCAAAATAAGGAGATGGTACTTTTTACCTCTGCTATGGCAACGTCATATGCTGTTTATAGACTGCAGTTGGTCGGTTTGGACAGTTACTGTGTAGCAAGTCGATTGACTGCCTGAGGCCCGGAAGTGACTTCTACTGAATACCAACTACCTTTCCACTGAACGATGTCCAGTAAAGGAAGAAGCTCAAGAATGAACCACCACTTCCAAAACTACTAGAAACCGGATTGATATCTATATCACCCCTCGAAACTCAGACCTCAACATGATACTACCAAGGCTTTCCGCGCATGCTTGCTCCAAAATTGGGCTCCCTTCGCTGCTGCATCGGCTTAGAAGGCCATTCGAAGGGTGCTTGTTGGGTGCGCGCGCGTGGATCTCTTTTCTGCTGTGAAGATTAGGGGGGCTGGGTGGCTGTTGGATTTACATTTATGCTGTTCATGCATGTACCGAGTAGATGCTGGTTGGGCTATACATGCAGCAAGATGTGGAAAGGGTGGCGGATGAGGATATATAAGGGGGGGGGGGGGGGGGCTTCCCTACATCTCTAATCTACATGTCTAGTATGGAGACGTGAGTGTGTCCGTCCGGGGTCCTTGAAGCTGGGAGTATGTCATCGTAAGGACTGGATGGAGCTGATATAGCTTGGTTCTGTGAGACAGTTGAGGCAATGGTATGTCTGAAGAATGGGTGATGCTGGTTGTGTAGGCTGTTGCTCTCTTCCTCCCTGTGCTTCGGAGTTCTCGGTGCACGTACAGCGTGAGGATATCGTGATGAAGAAGCTGCTTATAATTTAGACTAGCGCGTCTCTTATCTTGCAAGTCGTAGGCATATCCGAGAGCTGGACCTCATTCAAACCAAGTGTATAAATATAAAAATGCATGCATATAAGT